CTTCCTCGACCGATATCCACCCTGGGAGGAACGCCAAGCTTGGCAAAGAAGTGAGGGTCCGTGGTTGCTGAGAGACCAATCCGGTATGAATATTGCACTCATCCTTGCATTTGAAATGAATTGTGGCATGATGTCGGTCTCCTTGCTATGCTTGCCATTATTCTATGACAAACTACATATCTGCCCTACAACTGGCCTTGTCAAACACAACGGAACTATGACGTTATCCTACACCCGTTGGCGCCCCATGCTTTTGTGCGCACAACACAGTTCTGCGGCATTACGCATTGGTGCGGCGTCAATTTCCCAAATCTGTCTATCTGTTTGCTCCATGCCCCATCCGCTGACGGCTTTTGATCTTCCCTCGTTCTTCAACTATTGTCCGCTTTTACCCGGTCTCCGGACTTCACTGGACCTGTTGTGGTATATTCCACCTATTTCGCTACATTGCCTACCCACCTTTTTCTTCCTCGCCAACCTTTCTACTTTCCTCTGGTCCCTGTTTTTTTTTGAACCCAGCTCTTTCACGCATATACTATACGTACCCTTATCAGCTTGTCGATGATGAGGTTTCGCTTTCTGTCGTCCGAGAGTGAGCTTCCTCTATCGTCGATGACCGGTCCGTAACGTTTGAACCATGAATTGAAAGTTGAATCATCATCATCATCATAACTGAAGTATGGTAGATCTCGCATAAGATCACCATATGCATCAGGTGACGGAACTTTAGTAGGTGATTGTGAAAATCCCACCTTTTGTTCAACAAGAGTTGCCAGGAGCTCGTTGATGTGCTGGTTCTGCTGTTGGAACTGCTGGTTCTGTTGCTGAAGCTGTTGGTTCTGCTGCAGGATCGCCGCTAGGAACTGCGTCATCCATTGTGGTGCGTCCTTCGATGAGACTGGAATTCTGCTCGGCTTCTGCTCGATTTCTAGCCCCTCTTATCAGCTATTATCAGTCGTTATCAGTTCCTATCACATACCACTTGTGTCCCCATCCCACCCCCTATAACATATGTAAGAACCATGGCGCTATCATTGCTGTGAATTTCGCTACAAACACGCACACACACACACACACAGACATACTTAGCGAATTATATATAGTAGGATAACCGACCCATCACTCAATAACAAATTCAATGTAAGCACAATCATAGCTTATCACTAACCAAGTTTATGGTAACTGCACTATGAAGAATAAGTGGCGATCTACAACACTGAGAAAGAGTTGTTCAGCATCGGGTTGTGTTTTGAATCATTTCTCCTTAAAGGAGCCATCGCAGGGTGACTGGTTTACTGGCCGTGAGGTATACTGAGTAGAACAACTGCCCTTCCTCCTGCCTTAGCTCAGCTGCGCAGTTCAACCTTGTCTACGCCTGGGGGTGCGAGGTGCGCCCAATGCACATGTCAGAGTTTTGTCCGTCCCTTTACAGTGAGGAATACTGGACCATGTCTTGGGGTTTTTAGTGAATTTTGACGTTATGTCAAGATTGCTTTTCCACTGTAACAGTTCCACTTGCGTACGAAAGAAATATGGGCCGGCCGCTGACGCCTCATGGAAAATTGCCTAATAACGCCTGCTGCTTCAACGGAGTTTAGGTTTTGCAAAGTTTGTAGAGCTTGTTGAAAGTCGATCTTTCAGCAAAGCTTCATGGGCTGTACGAAAAGGATCCCTTCTTCATTGTACGTCGAAATAAGTAGAAAGGCGAGTCGCTTACATCATCACTCAATACAGGCTAGAAATTGAGGAACCTCTTTCCAAATGGTGATTTGTCGCAGCATACCCCCCCCCCCCAAAAAAGTTTTTGGACTTTCCAGCTACTTCCGTGTAGCTGACTCTGCACAAACGCATTATACTCCAGGATGACTTTATTTGCGACCTGTATGCTATGTACATCGTTATATATCTGTGAGGATGTGTTGCTTATGTTTCCCAGGTCTATTTAGAGCTAGAAAAAGAAAATCGTGCCAAATCGCTCTATCGAGTATACCGCACTCAAGGCTCTAGGAAAGTCACAAAGGAATGTATCAGAGCAAAGGCGAGATTAACGTTGGGTACAGCTCTTTAAGACCGCATCCATAACGATGGCAGTTTCTCAAAATTGCAAGTAAAATGAAGCATCCAAACGTGAGTATGCCGGAAAACGACAGAACTTTTCCTGAAACCTCGCTATTACGAATTACGCGAACAATGGACTCCCGTTACTGCCCGCCCAGCCTCCTTTCCCTGCGTCATCTGACGCCTTTCGCTGTGCTCCATTCCACCTGTGGAAGTGAGGCCTATGCACAAAAAAGTGTTCTATATTGTAGAGGGCATTGTCACATCATAACATGGACGAAACGTCGGAAACGCTAAAGCGGAGAAGCCCATTTGATGAAGTAGTGCTCTAATTTTACAACCTTTGAGCCAAGTTTAGCCCTCTTTGAAAATGGCCAGAACGAAATTTCTACCTACCATCCTCAAGTAATATACTGCAATTTGTACTTCTTACTCGAGCATCCTCGAGTAAGAAGTACAAATTGCATCTATTCTAAATGTAACTTCTCTCTCGGCCACCCACACTTTTTCAGCTTCTGAACTTGAATCGCTCAAGGCGTTAGCTAAAAGCACCATTTCAGAAATCGAGTACCCTCCTTCGGTGAAGAAGCAGCTGGAGGACATTGCTGCCAACGTTGGAGATCTCATAGCGACGTTGTCTTGCAACCTCGAAGGAAATCCTGAGCCGCAAATTGCGTGGTTCAAGGACGACAAGGAGTTAATCGTCTCATCGTCGAAGTATCAGGCGCGGTACTCTGACGGTCTTAGTGAACTGACCATTAAGAACATCGAAGAATCGGACGCTGGTCGGTACAGTTGCCGAGCTACGAATGAGCTCGGCTCCATCACAACCAAAGCGAATTTAACGGTTGGAAAGAGGAAAGCTGAGACTTCACCAGCTGAACTGTCAATGAAGAAGAGCACTAAGGTTAGAGGGATTTTCAGATTATAGGCTTAAGTTTTATGACGTTCTTCACGTGAGAGGCGGTGCAGCCATAACATTGTTACAAAAATCAATTTCAGATCACAGTCGAAGAAGTGGAAGTCAACGACTCGCCTCCAACATTCCATCACAAGCTGACTGACTGCTCACTGAAACTTGGGGAACAGGCGATTCTTTGTGTGACAAACACGACGCTTCCGGAGCCGTCGGTGGAATGGTATCATAATGGGGATCGTATTCGCGAAAGTGATCCCGATTACCTGCAAAAGCACGACAAGGGACGCTACGAGCTCACAATCCTTAGCGTTTGTCTGAACGATCAGGGTATGTACAGATTTCACATGCTTCTTTCATTGTTGGTGTGCTCAATTGTTCTCTTTTAATTCGATCAGTTCTTCTCTGTGTTATTTGACTCTTTATTGAGTCATTTCAAGAAGTATTGTTGCTATTTTAGAACCAATGCTGTAAAATTAGTGGAGAGGAAATTCCAAAGTTATACGCGTTATAAGGGTACACCTGGAAACAGCTATTCCTATAGGATAAAGGTTGCTATCAACCTGCTTAATTGGATTTGATATCACCTGTATCACCTGTCGTCCCGTTGATCATCGATTTGCTCGAGCGGGCGCCAGCAACGTCTCCATTCGTCCCTGTCGCGTGCTAGAGTGGTCCAGTGGATCCTCCTCGCTCGAGGGACACGAAGTCCTTCATTCCTTTCGTTCAGAGCTTTCGTGAAGAAGTCTGACCATCGGGCCGGCGGTCGTCCAGGTGTTCGTTTGACGTCCCGAGGGATCCAGTCGGTAACCGCTCTGGTCCAACGGTCATCGCAAAATCGCATGACGTGTCCGGCCCACCTTATCTTCGATTCCTTGGCGAAAACGGCAGCGTCCCTGATCTTCGATCGTTGGCGTAGTTCGGAACTCCGGATTCCCCTCTGCACTTGCGTGTATAGGGTTACTCCTAGCATCGTCCTCTCGACAGCGCGTTGGATAACGCTGACCGCATGCTCGTCCTGCCTGCGCAGAGTCCAAGTCTCTGAGGCGTAGGTTAGGGCAGGAAGGACTGCGGAATCGAAGAGGTGGGCAGGAGCCGTTCTTCGTCTTCTAAACTACTCCCTAGATGTTCTTAACCCGTAACGGACGGCGACTATTTCTTTTCTTTTTTGAATGTTTCTAGCAATCTTAATATACCCATATATACTCTCAGCAATGTGGAATAACATATCTTCCCAGGACCTGGACGGCTGGATTTTTGACAAACCTACAATAAATTTTACATACATTTTGTCTTAATTTACATAAGTTTACTATTTGATGGGTGGCTTACCCATGGTTCGCACGTCCCGAGACCCCTTCCCCTAAATATAGCCACATCCTTGCTCGGGGTTGTTGTTTCGCATTTTTCGATAATGTCACCTACAGCTTCCATTCATTCTTTGCACCCTAGTTTTAGAGCGGAAAGGCGGGCTACGAACTTGTCGTCAACGGAAATCTCTTTTTCGGATGATGAGACTCCGACACCTACTTTAGCCCCGTCTTAACCCCTGCTGTTCGCATAAGCCTACATAAACCCTACCCTGGGTGGCGGCGTGCGCCACATGGTGGCGCACGCGAAAAATACACTGGCCGTCCGTTATGGGTTAAATGCTATCCATACCGCTCGTTTCCTCCTGCTCAGCTCTGGAGCTAGGTCGTTCATCATATTGATTTCCCGACCTAGGTACACGTAGCTGGAGCATTCGGTGATGTTCGTTCCGTTGAGCGTGAATGGGGCATCAGGAACCAATCCGTTTCTCATAAACATCGTCTTCGTTAGGTTCAGCTGCAGACCGACCTTACCACAGGCGCAGTCGAAATCAGCCAGCATTCGCTCCGCTTGCTCGATGTTCGGCGTTATAAGAACGATGTCGTCAGCAAAACGAAGGTGGTGTAGTTGCCGGCCGTCGACCTTCACTCCCAGGCCTTCCTCAAGTCGATGGTGAGACAGAGCGGCATCTTGTACTCTCGTGAGTCTTGTAACCGTGTGGATATGGTCGATCGTGCTGAACCCTCTTCGGAACCCTGCTTGCTCGCATGGCTGTCCTTCATCTAGTATTCTGCCGATCCTGTTAAGGATGACTCGAGTGAATAGCTTGTAGATTACAGACAGCAGGCAGATTGGGCGATAGTTGCCAATGTCGTCCAAGTCTCCCTTCTTGTACAGCAACACGGTCCTGCTGGTTTTCCACGGAGTGGGTACCTTGCATTCCGACAGGTAGCGCGTGAAGAGTCGAGCCAGAGTTTTGATGATAACTGGCGGTGCATTCTTCAGATGTTCCGGTTTAACCCTGTCGAGACCGGGTGCTGTACGATTCTTCACCGACTTGATGGCGTGTCGGACTTCGGAAGAGAGAACTGAGGGGACGACGTATCCATCCTCTTGCGGACATGGCTATCGAAGAGATCCGAGTAGAAGTCGTGGATGACTTTCTCCATTGCCCTTCGGGATGCAGTAACTGTTCCATCCGGACGTCGGAGGCAGGTCATCTTGGTCTTGTAGCTGGCAAAGCTTCGGCGGGCATTGCGGATGCTCCTCCCAGCCTCTGCTGCTTCAGCTAATACTGCTGCTCTTCGCTCCTTGAGATCTTCCTTTATCGCCTCTCTGCATAGCTTCGCAAGCTCGGACGTGAGTCGGTGATTGCCTGCAGCTCGTGCGGCTCCACGCTGGCGTATCAGTTCGAGAGTTTCCGGAGACAGACGTCCCTTGGTGACTTTCAAACTCTCTGCCTTCCTGCCACAATCGTGAAGATGTTCAACGAGCCGATAGTACTCCTCGTCGATGTTTTCGATGACGGAATCCTCCCATAAGCTGACGAGGGAAGCGAAGTGGTCCCAGTTGATGACTGTCCTGGGCTTCGCTTCCTGAACTTTGCTGCTCTCTCAACACGCATCGAGAAGTGGAATCTTGCGCGGAGGAGACGATGGTCCGATCCCGTGTAGAACTTTGGAACAACAGCGACGTCGGTCAGGCAAAACCTTCGATTGAAGATGATGTGGTCTATCTCGTTATGGAACTGTCCATCAGGTGACTCCCAAGTCCAACGAAGGTGAGAGGGCTTCTGGAACTGTGAGTTACCATGGATGGTGTTGGTCGACATGATAAACTCAGACAGTCTTTCGCCCTGCTCATTCCAATCCATTCCGTGAGTACCGATGTGAAGTTCTTCAGCCGTTCTTCTTGGGCCAATCTTAGCGTTGAAGTCGCCGACGATGACCTTGAAGAAGGTATGATCTTCCCTGTAGAACTTCTCCAATTCCATATAAAATGCTTCGTGTTCTTCTTCGTCGTAGCTGGATGGTGCGTGCGACGAAGATTGTCAAAGCAGGAGTTGAACCACATCTTCTCAATCTCAAACGTCCGATTCGGGTCGTAAGGCTTTCGTACGAATCGATGTTTATGGCCAAGTGCGTGTTGACGAGGACACCCACACCGCCAACGCCTCTGCTGTCGCATGTTCCAAGGAACAGTTCTTCTCCAGTATCGAAAACGGCGTGTAGCGGGCGGTGCCTTCTCGTCTCGGTCAGTCCGATGACGTCGTACTTGATCTTCCTGGCCTGCATCATCAGATCTTCGATGTGAGCTTCGGATGCAAGCGTTCGTGCGTTGAAAGTACAGATCGCCATCTTAGTCCTTCTTCGTTTAGGCAGCCTATCCGGGCCCTGAGATTCTAGCAGCCTCTCCCGAGCGGTCCTACCCAACGCTGCCGTATTGGGGGCTCCCTCAGGTTCAGGGGAATGAGGCCCATCCATATTGCTGTTTTCGGCATATTGAAGGCACACGAGTAGCTTGCCAGGCTCTGTCGTGTGGGCTAGGATAGACCTCCAGGTAGTTAGCCACGCTATCCTGGAGCGGAACAAGGGGCTTAGTTTTTGGAGGCGGCCCCGAATCGCCTCCCATGTACTTCCCAGTCACTTGAATGCAAGCTTTTGGCTGTGTCGACAAGCAGGATACCAACCACACACTCAAAGCGCACCACACACGCAAGCATGCATGGATACGCTTAACAGGGAAGGCATTGAACTCCCCGTGGAATTTTGAATCGAGACTTAGACATAGGCGATAGATCCTAGGACACTGGTTAGAAATGCGGGTCCCAAAATTGCAAAACGATTCTGCCAAGGAAGTTACGAGTAATCGAACTTGGTTGCAAATGAGTGCTTGTGGATGATGAGTGTTACAGCAACCTGCGTAGACGTGGTGTAGTGGTGACTCTTGGTCCTCATGATGCAGGTCATGGGCTCGAGTCCCGTTGAGGGTTGCATTTTTGCAAATCATGTTTACTATCCAGTAGAGACTTCTATTCTAGTTTTTGACATATCCGAGTGAGCACCTTGTCAGAACGTGAAGACCGAGTGACAGATGTGGTTATCCCACTCATGAACTTCATTGGTAATGCTGTATTCTCCCGCAAACGTGGTTTGGATACCTTTCGCTGAATTCCGAGCAAAACAACAGTCCTGCAACTTGCGAAGAACATGAGATGCTGCGATTTTCGCTTTTAACTTCGTTATTGCATCCTCGCTGGATCGATTTTGAAGCGGGTGAAAGCCTGGGGCGTTTCCAACGAATCGGACTAGGAGTATTGCGATGACGAGCATGAGCAGCTCTGGTAGCAAGGCAGAGGAGCTAAAGAGTGGTAGACGCCCGAAACTAGCTCTGTTATTCTAACTGAACGCTGGGTGTAGAAGAAATCTACGCACGAAGTTACTTCATCTCAACACACAACAAACGTCAATGGATATTAGGGATAGCTGTGATTAGGTGCTTATTCAAATAAATGTCAAAAGCTAGAATCATTACTGGGTACGAAAATTTTGCAAAAATCCGGTCCGCAACAGGATCCGAGCCCATGACCTGCATGATGATGAGCGAGAGCCTTACCACTACACCACGGCAACACATACGGGTTTAACACTATCCTCATCCAAAAGCACTCATTTGCAGCCAACTTCGACTGCTCGTAACTTCCTTGGCAGAATCGTTCTGCAATTTTGGGTTCTGCAGTTCTAACAGGTGTCACAGGCACATCGAAATGTCTATGTCTCCATTCAAAAATCCACAGGGAGTTCAATGCCTTCCCTCGTGAGTGAAGGCGGCTGGCATGAATCAACACAGCACTCCAGAAACAGGGAGTCCATCCCCTGAATCTCAGGGCAAGTACATGGTGGCTTTTGGTCCGCGATTTACCCCCTATCCGCCACCTGGGGTCGCGCCACGTAGCCTCGCCACCAACCGGCTCGAGATCTTTCAGTGAGAGAGGACCCTCAGTGAAAGAGATCCGTGGGGATTTGATATACTATGAAATTATTGTACCACCTCATTTCAGAAAGCAATACGAGCCACAATCTTTTTATAAGACATTTTCAAAGATGCCCCCCGTTTCAAAAGTATTTATAAAGGCTCCCGGAAGAGGATTTAGCAGCAAATTT